AAGAAGGAGGAGGGGGAGGGGGAGAAGAAAGGAGGAGGAGGAGGAGGGGGAGAAGAAAGGAGGAGGAGCCGGAGGAGGAGAGAAGAAGACAAAAGGAGGAGGAGGAGGAGGAGGAGGAGGAGAGGAGAAGAAGAATAGGAAAGGAGGAGGAGGAGGAGGAGAGGAAGAAGAAGAGGAAGGAAAGAGGTGGAGGAGGCTTCACGACGATGGCAACAGCAGCTTCACGGGCAGCGACGACGAGGAGGGCTTCTCGACGAGGCATCTCGATGGAGACAACAATGGGCAGCTCGACGAAGACGGGCGGGCTTCACGACCGCAGCGACGACGGGCGGGCTAGCGACGATGGGCGGCTTCGTGACGGCAGCGACGACGGGCTTCACAACAGGGAATACCGCGTTCGAATTCGAATGCCGCATCGTAGCCCGCGAGAAGGGGAAACGATTTCTTGGCGGCTAATCTCAGCCGAAAACCTCGCTCCCCCCCTCAAACTACTTGTACATTGTTGTAGATTCAGAAAAAAAAAATTACCTGGTGTCACCGGAAGCTGGGGAGGCGACCAGTAGCCAAAAGAGGCCTCCCCCCCCCTCTGCGCGAAATTGTGCCGGCCTCGCCCGGCCCCAAACCGGGGGACCCAACCGGCCGGGCCGCCCGGTACCCCTGCCGGACGAAGGCCAGGCCACCGGACGGTCCGGAGTTTAACACAGTTTGGAACTCCTTTTTTTTCTGTTTTCCTTCCCCCAACCTCCATTTCGTTTTTTTTGGCTCTTTGTTGCCAATTTGCTACCCTCTGCTTAGTGGTCACACCGATGGCATCATTTTGTGAAGTTCTACATTGTTATTGTTCCGTCTGAGTCAGGTCCTGATTGTGACATCCTGTGAAAAGCTGGTGTGACATCGAATGGAAGTGTGTTCGGGGAAATGAAGTACGTTCAGACAAGCAGTTCTAAGATTAAAATTTAAAACATACAAGTCCGGAGGCGCGCCAGTCATGGAGATCAGCTCATGAGATACGCTCATTGCTTGTCCTTTTTTTATTTTTTCTTTCCCCCAATTTACCTTGCATCAGCTACCCACCAGTGGACCCTTGCATGGAGAGATGCGGCAAAGCAGTCTCAATTTTCTGCACCAGTGGTGTGTGAATGAGAGGGGCGGCAGCGTGCCCGCGCCACAGAGAGAGAGAGAGAGAGAGAGAGAGAGAGAGAGAGAGAGAGAGAGAGAGAGAGAGAGAGAGAGAG